GAAGTACTGAGGCATCAGCTTTCTTGAGATCCCTATCTCTTGTCCCAGTTCAGATGATTTTACCCAGACTCTCTCACCTACCTGAAAGTTAGAAGGCCGTCTATGTTTGTTCTCAGATGCAATCATAGCATCTTGAGACTTCTGAATGTGTTCTACGGCCTGCTTCAGCATCTGTTCATACTTTACAGCAAACTCTATGCTGCCAGGTGCTGCAGTGGGTTGTCTTTCTGGTAACAGAAAGTCGAGCGCAGATCTGGGCTTCCAGCCAAGATGTAACTGGTTGGGAGTCATACCGGTGGTGCTGTGCACAGCATTGTTGTACAAGCTGGCGACGAGAGGTAACTTCTCGTCCCAGTCATCCTGACTTGGCTTTATATAATGCCTAAGCAGGTGCTGCACTACCCGGTTTATCTGTTCTGCCTGGCCATTTGACTCAGGGTGATTCCCTGACGTCATTTGGAGCTTTGTGCCCATTTGTTCAGCAGTTGACTGCCACAGTTCACTCGTAAACCTGACATCCCTATCACTAACGATAGACGTAGGCAAACCGAAGTCACGGACCCAATTGTCCATAAATACTTTGATGACATGATCAGTTTTAGCTGTTTCTGGCATAGCGATTAGTCTTGCATACTTAGTAAAGCGGTCCACTATTACGAAGATGTGTCTCTTTCCAGACTTACTGGTCACAAAGAGTATCCATGAAGTCCATGGACACACTTTGACCAGGACCTTCACGAATCGGCAAGGGCTTGATGAGCCCAAGCGGTGCCTGAGTCCTTGGTTTGTCCCTTTGACAAACCTGGCAGGTTTCAACATATCGTTTTGCATCTTCCATCATAGAGGGCCACCAGAATCTCTGAACTAAGTTTGCTGCTGTCTTCTTATATCCAAAATGACCAGTTGCATCGTGACGTTCTCCTAAGAATAAACTACGTAAAGACTCACTATTAGCAACACAAAGTCTTTTATTCCCTGCCTTCTCAAGGAACASCAAGCCATTTACMATCGTAAACTCGTCCAAAGTCTTTTTGTCCTTTGCTTGGAATCTACGGATGATCTCTGACATAACTGGATCTCCCTGATAGGCTTCCACCAGCGATCGAGTGAGTTCGTCAGATATGCCAAACTCAGTGACCAGCGCGCCCAGATAATCTGCCCTTCTTGATAGCGCATCAGCCACTTTGTTGTACGTACCCTTGATAGGATCAAGTTGATAGTCATACATGTCTATCACTTGAATCCATCTCTTGAGTGCGTCCGACAAGACTGGCTGTGTCTTGATCCAACGCAAAGTCTCATGGTCCGACCTCACATAGAAGAATCTTCCTAGGAGGTAGTGTCTCCAATGAACTAGTGCTCTAAACAGGGCGTAGAGCTCTCTCTCATAAGTGGACTTGGCCAACTTTTGAGATGGCATCTTCTTGCTCATGTGCTCGATCGGTCTCAACTTGGGCCCTTCCTGTTGCGCAAGGACCGCGCCTATGCCATATTGGCTGGCGTCTGTGCTCACAACAAACGGTTTGTCAGGATCAGGAAGTTTGAGAACTTCATAGTGCGTCAGATCATACTTCAATTTCTTGAAGCTGGCTTCACACTCTTCAGTCCACTCCCAAGGGGTGTCAAGTCGAGTTAGATCTGTTAATGGGGAGGCTATAGTACTATAGTTCTTCACAAACGGACGATAATAGCCTGTCATCCCCAAAAACGATCTGACCTCAGTAACCGTCTGAGGTCTGGGCCAGTCACGTATGCTGGCCACCTTCGCATCTTCCGGCCTCAATCCATCTGCTGAAATTTCATGACCCAGATACAGGATCTTGGTGCGACCAAACTCGCATTTATCCAAGTTCACTTTGTACTGGTGCTGTCTAAGGAGACCTAGCACTATTTTCAAGTGCT